AGGAAAATGATCTGCACCAGTCGGTCCTCCACAATCTCTTCCCTTCTTTCTGCTGCCTTTGTGTTTCTAATCCACCTTGTCTTTTCATCTCTATCCAACTAGTTTAAATTCCAGTCTCTGTAGACTGCTGTCCAGCAATGAAATGGTTAACACGGACTTCTTATTTCTGTCTGTTTTCCCTTCATTTCTGTCTGTTTTCCCTTCATAAAGGCAGTCTTTGAGTGTTGGAGCTCAGTGAGATACCTGGGTGGAAGGTAATTACTCCTCTCAGAGCTTTGATTTCAGGCTCTCTGCAGACTCCAGCAGACGCTATTTCACCTGCTCCATTCTAGTCACGGGTGAATTATTTTCTTTGAAACTGTGAAAGATAGAAATGTACTTTTCTTTCTAAATTAAAGCTCAGATCCTGAAGTGGAGCACGTCAGGCGAACCACAGCCAGTTGGTGGATGAACGCATAACTGTATAGGCAATATGATTGCTCCAGTGCCTCTCTCAGGTCGAGAGTTAGGTATTGTGTCTCCGGGCAGCATGCAAGTCTGTGCTGTGCTTGCAACCCAACCGGCCAGATTTCAGTACGTTGTGTGACAACCGTCATAGATGACTCCAGGTTCACGCTGCCGCGGCTAGGAGCAACAAGACACGAAAGACAGTGATGTAAACTGCTAACGAGCCGTTGAAAGATGCTGAAGGTACCTAAGATCTTGAGGAGGCCAGTCAATCCTCCCCTTCTCCCCTTGGTCGCCGCGGATCCACTCTTGCCCTGGCGCGCGCGCGCTCTCTCTCTCTCTCTCTTTCAAGTCTTTTGCTCATGCCATTACAAGTCAGCAAGCATTCGGATGTGCTCAAGCAGAAGGATAGTGGAATGTGTTACGCTCTTCATAAACGCAGCTTCCTTCTTCCTCGTTTGCCAGCAGCATGTCAGCAGCAAGGATCGCTTTCTTTTGCAAGAATGGCTTTGGTAAAAGGTGCACTAATGAGATATACTCCATTGGCAAGTTATTTCTGGCACAGACAGAGCTGGAAGGAAGTCAGCATTACACACACTCTTTGGCCTGGGAAGGTCTGAGAACCCTTTAAATACTTGGCTCAGAAATGGCTCGTTTCCTTTTATCTAGGAGATTTTTGCTTTCCTGTTAAGTTAATTAAACTTCTGTTTTGTCTTCCTCATGCCCTTTTGCCAGCATCTAGCCTTTTCATGAAGACACTAGTTCAATAAGCATCATTTATAGTGTCAAGCGTAGGTTACTACTGTTTGTTTGCCAAGTGCAGCTGCAACCGTCTGCCCAGTTTCACATGTTGCTGTGAGCCTCAGATATCGGCCTTCGCTACACAGACGGGCCGTTGAGGCCTCACGCTGTCCCTTCCATGAGCTGTCCTTAAAAGATGTCGTGCTTTGTCACCTTCCCACTTCTCTGAAAAAAGGGCGTGTTTACAGTGGGTTTGGACTGCAGTGGAGTCTGCAGTTCAAGCGAAGTGTTACTTCTGGTTAGCACCTTGTATGGGTATGCTCACTTCGGAATAAGAGTATGTTTCTCAGAAATAAATTCTGAAGCAAATCAAATTATTTTGAAGTAGAAGTTCCCAGGCTGGGGGTCAGTGTAAGCCCCTGGATACAAACCCCCCGAATGCCTGAAATCTTGAGAGGCTGGGTTCCTGACTGTCTGGGGTATGCATCAACTCACTGGACAGATGCAGCTGAAGGGCTGAAGCCCCCTTCCCACTTCTTCAGCACCAGACTGTGCTCCCGCATCATGCTGCAGCAGAGTGGGCCCGAGGATGCTCCCCTTGTTCTTCCCTTCCCTGCCACCCGCCTCGCACTGCAGCCCGAGTTACTCCTGCTCTGTGGGAGCCGCGTGGTGAATAGCTGTGGTGAGAGATGGACAGGGAGGCGTTTTCATACGGTCTGCCCTTGGGCCAGCCCATGCAGCCTGCACTGCAGGCCCCTTCGGGACAGTGCCTGTAGCTAGAGACCTGACAGGTTTTCCGTAATAATCCTAGCGGTAGGAAGGGTCTCACCCTTCATGAGGGACAGGCCTTATTATAATTTCTTGGTTCACAGCTTGAATGCCTCCCCAGAAGTGCAAGACGTTGACTGGTAGCGGATGTTGTTATTCCTTTTGCGCTGCCAAGCGTGAAACTGAAGATGAATGTAGCCCTTTGTCGACTGCTGCGCGCAGGCTGCGACCCGCCTGGGGAACACGCAGTGCTGCCCCAGCAGTTACCCGTGGGGCGCTCAGTTTGGGGGCAGGCTGAAGAAACGAACCTGTTCCACCTCCGTGTTGAGCTGCTTTCTATAACATCAGACCCAAGCGCATACAGCTGAGAGCAGAGCGGCGTAATGAATCATTTAGCACTACTTTGTTGCTGGCCAAGCTGTTAGCCAAAGCTGTCTCGCCTATAAAATAACGGGGTTTGGGCCATCTAATAAGCTCGTCTGAAACAATTTACAGTTTTTTGCATGAAAAAATTTTTCAGTGATTTTTTTTTTTTTTTTCTTAAGGGCAATGTAAGGCTCCTGTATTCTGCATTTGGTTTTAACTTGGAGAGCTCTGAGGTCGCTTTTGGGGATTACTTTACACTCAAATCCTTTATAGAGGGCTAAATGACTGAAGATTGTCCTTTTCAGAATTTCGGGTAAGTTCCCATTACTTTCTGTGTGAGATCCCTATCAACCCTGCCACACGCTTTTTCAAAGTCTATAGAATTCACGTAGAGCCTCCGCTCAGAGGGGAGCGCCTTGAGGATTTTCCAGTTAGCCACGCGATCAATTCAAGACCATCTTTCTCAAAACCAGATTATTCAATCCTAAATTACGTGTCTGCTAATTCCGTTCTCTAACAATGTTCTTGCCAGGAATGTGGCGGTATAGAAACATCGTGTTCCACGCTCTGCCCCATCTCGCCGGCTCTTTCACTTTGAAACACCTGGTTTCTGCAAGGACTGCAACAAAAGATCTTTCCCCGTCTGTGAGGGGAGGGACATCTTCCTCTTCCCAGATTATACCTCAAATTCATTCATTTTGGTAGAGACTACTACCCGCTTTGATGAAGGATTAGAACACTCTATTTATAGTAGGTGCTTAAAGACCGGGCTTCCTGAGCCCGTGGAAAACAAATGCGCCAGATTTTATTCTTTTGTTCTTTTAATAAACTGTCCGTGAGATTCTTCCCCTCCCCTCCTTTCCTGCTGGTTTACTTGCATTCTTGTATGTTCAGTGTTTTTTCTCTTCTGTCTTTGTTCCAGTTTATCAGCAATTTACACACAGTTGTTTCCCAGACTCCACGATTTCGACAGCAAAAATAACACTGACCTTTTGAGCCCATGAGCAATCTTGTTGGTGGTAATTTAGCAGAAAGTTACAGTAATGACGAAGAACGCTGCTCTTAAACGTTAGATCATTAAATGTGTTTTATGAGTGTTCATTACTCCTTTAATGCACTTCCTGTGCACCAGGGAGACAGCCGTATTCCAAGGAAGACTGAAGTTTTTAATTGACAAAAGTGGCCAATTTGTGAGTCTCTTCTGCTTTAAAGATACATCTGCAGGTGTGACTTAGCCAAAGCAAGCAAGGAGGATGTTTCTAGCCAGAAAGACAATAGCACTAACAACAGCAGGACTCCTCCGAAGGCACATTAACTCTTTGAAAACCGCGAGCTGGGCTTTTCCTGTGGGAGGGAGGGAGGTGAGGAGGGAGGGGAAGGTGACGGACCGCTGACATTTCCCTCCCCAGACCTGGGGCTGGCTAGGGACTGCTTCGGTCCCAGGCCGGCCTGAGCAGACAAAACGTATTGTCAACACTGAACTTCCTCCGTTTTCAGCCGCTTCCCCTTACCCAGCCTCCGGAGCGGCAGGAAGCCAGGAGCAGATGACACGGCGGCAGCTATACGAGGTCTGTCATTTGGCTCTCCTGCTCTACAGGTGGTTGGACCTGTGGCTGTGGCAGAGGTACGAGGGAATCTAAATCCAGACCTGAATTTCCCATCCATATCAAAATCCTCAACTTCGCTTTGGCTTCAGTTTACGTGCAGACCCGTTTCTAAAACTGGTAAGAATACTTGTAAAGATTTAAGCAGAATTAGGAAAAGGAAATTTGTCTGTAACCAGTGTAAAGGCAAAAAAAACCTTCAAAAAACCCAAACCCCGCAAATCCCACCAAAGTTAAGTGTTATTAGCAAGAGGTCACGGTACAAAGGGTGACTTTGAAACAGAGAATGTTGGTTTAAGCTCGTTTGTCTCAATGTATCTACCAAAGCAGGACAGAAAGGAGGTTTACCGCCTGCCTTGTTTTAGCTGTGCATTAAGTAGCATGAAGCTAGTGTTTTATCTTCCCCCTATATTTTAGACCTGTCTCCTCTCTTACCACTTTTATTATGCTAATTACCCTTCACTGCCTGTCTCTCACCCTTGACATGTTTTGAATCAGGTATGTTCCAAGATAACGCAGCACAGGAATCTGTATTTGAGGTGAAGTGGTGTAAAGATCTATTTCAGTGATCTATTTTGCAGTGCAATTCAGTACTTTGTTTTGTGGCCGCTGGAAAAGGACAGTGCAGAAGGTCATTTTAAAAGGCTGTTGCAGCGTCTAGAGAGCAAGCTTAGTCAGAGCATCAATATCACGTGGCCTTGCAGGACACGTCTGGGTCCACGTCCACCTAAATCCCTTGGTAGGTGTTGATGACAAGCGGCATGACCCCGTGGGTGATGGGAGACAGTTATTGCATTAGGGGTACGAGTTATTAATTTATTTAGCGGCTCTGGGGATCTCTGTGTGACCCATTTCAAGGAATGACAGCAGAAGAAAGTGTCTGGAAGCATGATTCACATGACAGGCGCGGGGTCTGTAAGAAGCCGGGTGTTTCAGAGGGAGTGTATGCACATACCACTGCCTTAGGAAGGCAAGACAGAAACGCTGCCCACAGTCCTGCCTACTAGCTCTGATACGTGATGCTGTTCAGCCTCTGCTCCTCTCCTGGGTTACAGTGGAAAGATTTTGTTTGTTTGTTTCAATCTCTTCTTGGGTCTTTCCCAATTTTAGCCTGAACTCTAGATATCTGGCTCTTAAATCCAGTCTCCAGAGTGCTTCTGACTAATGCCAGGGTGCTCTTGCGGGGTTTTACAGGAACCCTTGGGAACGGTCTTGCAGCACAGAGCGTGTGGACCCGTGTTATCGAAACCCGGTTTTAGCTCCGAGATGGTGCCTGTGCAGCACAGGGTTTCGGTACAGACTGCACTGTGTGGTCCTGACTTCTGTATCCGCCTTTCTGGACCACCCTGACTGAGGGCAACAGAGACGAAAAGCACGCACACTTCAGAACTGTTTTGTAGGAATTTTCCCTCGTTTTAAAGAACTTTTGTTCCAGAAAACACTTATTTTCCTCCAAACCAGTTATTACAGCCTGGGTTCATATCAAAAGGTTCAGCTATTTCTCAAAATAATTACTTGGTCCAGGTAACGCAGAACTGGGAAGAAATGTAAATACGGAGGTTGGAGGAAGTCAAAACCAGAGCTGGGATCTGGATTCAAGCATCATACTTAACAGATAATTGCAGTGACTGAGGTGGAACATTCAGCCTTAAATCCAAGCTCTCTAATACGCTTTGTCTGGGATAGGGAAGGCATCTTCCTTTATTAGGTTACTTTCCTGCTCAACATTAACATTTTGTGCTTTGAAGGTTTATTGTGTTGGCTAGAGTTATACCTTTATGTACGCGTAGTCCCTATGGAATAGCCTGATCTCCTTTCATCGTTATTAGTAATTCTAGGCTTGTAATTTCCTATTCGCGCAGTCTGGACCTCGCTGCGCTGTTGCAGGATGGCCGATATGGTGCACAGGAAATGTACTGTTTTTGCAGGTCTCGACTGTTCGTCAGTATTCTTTTCCGCGGCTTCGGTTTTATTGCCATGAAGTCCATTTCCTACATGTAGTACAATTTACTAAATTACAAACAAACACGGCACCAATAGAGAAGTCAGTGAAAGTTCACACTAAGAATAGAAGCTTGAAGAGAAAAGTTCAGTTATGTGACCTTCTTCAGGAGCTGGATACAAAATAGACCTGCTGTTTTTCCCTTCAATTTGCAGTCCAGGCAGAAAAGAACTAGAACGGTTCCCAGAGAAAGCCAGACCCTTGTTTGTTTCTACGAATCCTCCAGAAATGCTTTATCTGTTAGCTGACATCCTGAGTATGCTGATATGGAAATGAACCTACTGGGTCTCCTAATTTCCCTCCTGTATTGTCAGCTGATTTTTGCATTGATCTCCCATTCCGCAATGTTTAAAGATCTACCAGCCATGGACGGAACAAAATGTTACTGATACGTACCTTTAAAAGTGGCCATTAAAGCAAATTAGGATCATCAGATGAAAAACATCATGTAAGTATGAGTCACTGCTTATCGTTGCCCTTTAGAAATACGTTTGGGAAAGAAAAACAATTCCTAAGAACAGGTTTTTAGGCTGTTGGTCATGAACAGGGAGATGCTACACTGATGCGTACGGGGCAAATACTTAGGCAATGTACTAGCTATCCAGACTTTTTAAAAGTTCCTTCCTTTCAAATGATGGCTTTTTTCTTCTTCGTATTCACCCTTTCTGTTTCGTAGCACGCTATGATCCCTACTTTTAGCTTATCTTGAAAATTCCCCCAAAGATTACAGAGTTTTCCCAGCTGCTGCCTAAGGGAGCTAGTCTGCCCTTTAGGACTTGCTGCCCGAGTCCCTGCTCCTCGCAGGGCAGCAGAGCAGCGCGTCCGCCCCGGCGCGCTCGGCACGCAGAGCATCGCTGCGACTCCTTGGGCTGAAAAGGGTGCAGCAGAGCGAGAGAATCGGGTGTCTCAAAATGCCTTGATGAAACCGGACTATCCCTGGACACTCTCTGTTTAAAGTTAAATATTAGACACTCTCTCCCTGACATTCTTTTTTATTTAGCCTAAAAGGCTTAATATTTAACTCAAAATACCTAACAACTGCAGATGCTAAGTGCCGAATGTTGTTACGTTCTCCAGAATATACATAAAGCAGCGCTGAAACTCGGTGCGATTGATGTATTTAGACACGTGTAGCCATCCCTGGACTTGGTAACTGGTTTTCTCGTTCGAACGAAGCGGTTATGTTCTGAATTCCGGTTGCGTTTTGAAGCAAAAGGCACAGCCAAAAGTTCAGTGGGAATAACTGGTTTAAATGGGGTGCCCGCTTGGTACATGCAGAAGGAAATACCCTTTACTGAGATGCACTTTTCTTTGTCCCAGATCAAGGTCTTAATGTGTTTGATCCTGACTGACATCAGCTTTGGTTTTGGGATGAATTCCTCAAATCCATGTTGAAGACAAAATTATTTTTTACTACTGGCTCCTGTTCAAAGTCTTATTGCAACTAAACTGCGTATCTGTGAAAACCACTGCTATTTTATGACTTCTTTCCCATTTCTAAGCCTTTTTGTTGAATGGTATCGTTACAAAAGGCTCCTAAAGGTGTTCTGCTTTTAGGTGAGTTATTTCCGAGGCTGAGGAGTTGGTCCAGAAGTGGCAAGCAGCCGCGAATGGCCACATCCATGCCTCTTTAACCCTTTGGGGCACCTCGGGGCTA